GACGCACATGTACTCTGCCTTCATTTTTGAACTGATGTTTTCCTAAATTGGATTGACTGTATTTCGTTGCTGTTGTTGTTGATGTTGTGCTCGTGGTTTTATAGTAGTCGGGACAGAAAAGTGGCATGAAAGCACGTTAAACACTTGTGCGGTTTTTCCATTGTCGCCTGCCAATCGTCCCATCGTCCCCTCCTCTGGCTGGGTATATAGCCACTCGTAGAGCTCAATGCTCGCGTGTATATGTGTGTGCGTTTAGTGTGTGTGCGTTTAGTGTGTGTGTGTATGTATGCGTGCATATCATCATGATTATAATCAGCGAGCGCAGGGGCACTTAGCGCTTGTAATGTTGTTGCTTCTGGCACTTTTGTCGGCTTGCTGCACATCAAAGGCGCCGCGTAATGAGCAGCACACGCCAGCGAACTCCTCGGGCTGCTCCTTGCCACACTCGCTGCCGCAACGCTCGTCCAACATCGTCTACTAGCGCAAATTGACTTTGTCTGTGTCTTTTTGACACCTGCGGCAATTCGTTTCCATGCCCACGCCCACGCCTCCACTCACACACACGCCCACGCGCTCGCTCCACTTATCCGCCACAGCCCCTGCCCCACWTAGCRCCCGGCAGCTGCTATTTGCATCAAAGATACTTTAAAGCGAGCTAAAAACTAGTTCATGGATAGCACCACCAGCAGCAGCACCACCACCACCACCAACAGCACCAGCAGCAGCAGCAGTGGAGCAGTGGGTGTGCTCGCAGGGCTTTGGCCGGGCAACCTACATATTTTCAGTCATGGTTTTTGGGGCGTGGCTTGTGTTTCGCTTTTTGGCATGGCGATTCGTAGCCGCAAGTCACAAAATTCTTCAGTTGCGACGTTGCACAGCCAGTAAATTTTTAGGCTAGCAAAACGGGCGCTGAAAAACCAGATTCAGCTCTGCCGCAGCCCCAGAAAGTATGCCACGCATTTCGACTGCTGAACATGAAGCATTTTTCCACAATCTCCTGCCATACAATGAGCACTCAGCCGTACGTGAAACGCAAGTCATCATACAAGCAATCTAACACCGTTATAATATATATATATTCTGCCAAATATATTTACTTGTGTGGAATATTAAAAAACGAGAAGAGAGACAATCGAGATAAAAAGAGATAGAAAATAGTGGGGAGCTGGTGAAAAGAAGCGCAGAGAGAGGGAATTAAAAGAAGATAAACCAGAGAACAAAAATGAAGAAAAACATGAGGACAATTTACATTAAACTTTCTAATTTGGATAAAAGTAGGTAAAAATTAGTAAATATATTTTTTAGACTTAATATTATTATTGATAGAGCATAAAGAAATATTATTTAAACTTTATTAAAAATGTCGTTTACCTCAATCTTCATTCCGAACAAATTATAGAAATCATATACAGAAATGTTAGAGCAAAAATATCAGATGATTTCTTTCCTGCCCATCGAGCACTCTCTCTTATCTAGAGTACATTCTGGAATCTTTTAAGTTTGAACGAATTATTGCGTAGGCTTTTAATTTCACTGATGCCATTATGAAAATTCGTGTTTTTTTGTAATTCCGTTATTTAATTTACACCTAGGGCTATTTAATTCATATAAACTTGAGTTTGCTTTTCAGTCGAGCCGCATAGCTTTGATGTCCGTGCGACCTGTGGGTAA